AGATAAGAGTGTGATTCTCCCAGGAGATTTAGCCAAGCATATCACAGCTCCTGTTGGACTGCATTACCCACGACGTTTGTTTCTTTCATTTTAGTTAAAACTTTAAAGTGTGCATAATTTTTTTTTTTCATTTTGTAATTATTATTAAAAGGGTAGATGTCAGCTTTTGCTGAAATTGGTGTAAAAAATTGCCTTTTCAGTTAAGGTCTACTATGCAATACTTGCCTGGAATAGCTGGGATCTCAAGAGAGAAACAAACCAGCCAATGAACCAGCAGTTGTGCTCTGCAAAAATTTATGTTATGAAAATGTGAATGTAGATGCTGTTTGTGCCAAGGCCAAGGAATTAGGGATGGCTGAAACTGTTAAATTGTGACAATGTGACATGATGCAGCCGGCTGGACGCCTATCCAAGGGCTGGTGATGGACACAGGGGCAGGGCTCGCCCTCCCTGCCGCGGGAGAAGGGCAGCACCCACCAGCCGGGACCCGCAAGCGGGGGCCGCGGGGGGCCCACGTATGCTGTCCCCATGCATGCGCGTGCACGCTCTTCTGCGCGTTAAGATTCAAACTCGCTCTGTTGGTGACAGTTTTGCTGTTGATAGGTACAGCAAGATAACTTTTCTTTTTTCTTCCTGAAGGGTATGACCCCACTAATGTACGCCTGTGCTGCTGGAGATGAAGCCATGGTCCAAATGCTTATAGATGCTGGAGCAAATTTAGATATACCAGTGAGTAACAGAGGACCCTCTCCCCATAATTATTCATCCGTAAACTAACATGAGCAGTTATGAAATCTCTCCTAGCAACTGCAGGCTTCATCTCTGGAAGCTTCTGAGCAAGCCACTTCTTTCAGAAATCATTGCTTCAGGGATTTGGGAGGGGGAAGAAAACCTTCAAAACCTCTTGGAGCACTCAGTGGCTCCAATTATGATTGGCATTGGCAAGTCTAATAGGCACGGTGGGGGTGAGGGGGCCTCCCTCCTGAAAGAGCTGCCACTAAGAGAAACCAATAAGCCCATTAAAAAGGCCCAGGGGACTGGACTAGCGCTGGCAGTGTTCTCTAAATGGCGAAAGTTACTGTTCCCTGGGGTTGTCACTTACACAGAAAAAAGCCAGTTATGTACGAGTCTGAAGATTATGGCAGACAGAGGCTGCAGTGGTTAATAACTACCTGGTTGCTTTCTCCCAGGTTCCCAGTACCTCTCCCCGGTACCCTTCAGTCCATCCCGACAGCCGGCACTGGACTGCTCTTACCTTTGCTGTGTTACACGGGCACATCTCTGTTGTTCAGGTAAGCAGAGGAAATCCCCCTGTTGGGAATCTTTACTGGAGACGCGGAGGGACTGCAGTGCAGTGCTGTGAGCCGGGTGCTGGGCAGCACCCTCCTGTCAGGCTTCCTGAGCATGGGTCCGTCACGGGCTCCGTGTGCTGTCTGGTGGGAGCCTTCTGAAAAAAAACAGTGGAAAAATTGCCTGGTTTGAAAATGAGAACGCAACCGATGCTTTTCTTGTGGACGCGTGAATTGATGACGCAATTCCTAGCAAGGCCTTGCTAACAAAGCACAGTATGTTTCCTTATTTTTCTTTGGTGGTTTGTTTTTTGTTTTGTTTTTTTTGTTTGTTTGTTTCAGTATTGGTCCAAGGCTTACCACTTCCAGAACAATGCTGCACAACCATTTCTTTGGTATTAGATAAACTAGTGCTTCATATGGAGTGGTTAAAGGCAGACAGCTTGATCAGGATGGTTTCTGACATTTATTTACATGTGCAAAAATTAAGCGTATGCTGATTTCTGCTCTAATGGCAGCAAATCATCTGTAACTTCCTTTATAATCCCTGAGAATTGCATGAACAAGGCTCAAGCTGTCGTGGGAATTGAGCCTTTCGCATCCTCCCTGCTCCTTTTTCTGTGGGATTAAAGTAGGGGGCAGCGGAATGAGGTGGAATCCTGGAAATCCCACCTGAACTTCAAGAGGAATTCAAAACTGCAGACAGTCAGCAGATAAGTCAGTTGCTGGTGAATTTAATTTACCTTCTGCTTAAAGGGGGGGGGGGGGGGGGGGGGAATGATAGGTAAGCAAATGGAGGCTGCCCACACTCATTTTTTGTTTGTGTACATTTGTAATTAATTACAAAGATTAGATCCCACCTGGCAAATTGCCAGGGCAGCCTTTGGTATTACAAAGGCTGGACAGCCTTAATTTCCATGTGAGATAAGAGTGTGATTCTCCCAGGAGATGTAGCCAAGCATATCACAGCTCCTGTTGGACTGCATTACCCACGACGTTTGTTTCTTTCATTTTAGTTAAAACTTTAAAGTGTGCATAATTTTTTTTTTTCATTTTGTAATTATTATTAAAAGGGTAGATGTCAGCTTTTGCTGAAATTGGTGTAAAAAATTGCCTTTTCAGTTAAGGTCTACTATGCAATACTTGCCTGGAATAGCTGGGATCTCAAGAGAGAAACAAACCAGCCAATGAACCAGCAGTTGTGCTCTGCAAAAATTTATGTTATGAAAATGTGAATGTAGATGCTGTTTGTGCCAAGGCCAAGGAATTAGGGATGGCTGAAACTGTTAAATTGTGACAATGTGACATGATGCAGCCGGCTGGACGCCTATCCAAGGGCTGGTGATGGACACAGGGGCAGGGCTCGCCCTCCCTGCCGCGGGAGAAGGGCAGCACCCACCAGCTGGCACCTGCAAGCGGGTGCTCTGGGTGCCCAGACGCTGGCTTCTCACCCTACCCGGCCATGAGGGGTCCCCATAACCTCGTAACCTTCTCCCCTTCATCTGGGAGGGGGGTATTTCCCTTGTGAGCAGCTCGGTGGGGTCAATGAAAGCAGGTTCTGTGTGTGGCAAATCACCGCAGCTGCGCAGGCTCCACCGGCCTGGAGAGACCAAGAGGTATGTTTGGCCTCCAGGGCTAATTCCCCGGAGGAACCCAGTTTCCTGAGCACAGCATGAAACTAAGTAAGATGGACTTCCTGTGCTGAAGAGAAGCTCTGATTGCAGAGCTCTTTGGAGTTGGAAAATTACAATTGCAAAACCATGCTCATAAAGGAGATTTTTAAAAAAAAAAAAAAAAGTAGATGATGTTCTCCAACCTGCCAGCCGAGCACCTTTCCAGCACAAACTCACTATTGAAAGCACAGTGCGGCAAAAGAAAATAAGAAAACTCTAAATTAACATTCATGTGGAGAATTTAGCCCTAGGCTGAGTGAGGAAACGCAAGAGAAATTTGCCTTGTAATAAGGTATTTTGCTTTAGCCTGTGAGATGGTCCCTTTGTGTGCATGCACTCTTCGCTATGAGTCTACTGCTTTTCCTTCCTAACGCACCGCCTCTTCCCTTCTGCCTTTCTGAATTGCTCTTTTCTCAACTCCTTGTTTTTCACCTCTCTGTTGCAGCTGCTCCTGGATGCCGGTGCCCACGTTGAGGGCTCTGCTGTTAACAGCGAAGACAACTACGCGGAGACTCCGCTTCAGCTGGCTTCAGCGGCAGGTAAGCTCAGCGCAGCCTCAGCACGCCCCGTCTCTTGCCACCACAGAATAACCACAACCAATTCACACGTGCTGCGCCGCATTCTAAGGCGCAGTAAAGGTACCAAATGAGTAGCACAGTGAGCTGGCTGCGAAGAAGTCAGCATTTTTTTCATTTCTAAAACACTTATGGGAACCCCGGCTGGGCTGGCGGCGGCTAACAGCCATCGTCACGTGGCAAGAGCTTGATGGGCACTAATACAACAAATCCCAACACTCACCTCCTGCCAGCGGCCTCCATAGCAAAGCTGACTGAAACAACTCCTTTGCACAGGGCACTGTCAAGAAACATAAACCAGCTACTGGCTAGTCTAGGCATGTCTTGTGTCTAAATATTCCAGATGCAAAAATTAACAAGTTTAAATTCAGCCTGGGGAAAAATAACTGCTGTGTAAAGAAATTTGTTTTATTAATTTATTAAATACAAGTAAAATTCTGCATTTCTTCTACCTGTCATGAGAAGAGCTTAGCATTCAGGGAACCAAAAAGTAGCTGGCCTACAAGTACCTGTTGTTTTTTAACACTTGTCACCTCTGGTTTTGCTTTTTTTCCTTCATTTCTTTCTGCTTCATTTTTGTGTGTTTATGAAGACGAGTCTCTGGCTTGCTCTGCACCGATCTTTACTGAAAGGATAAAAAAAAAAAAAAAAAATCCCCCCCCCCCCCCCGCTGGGTCTCTTCTTGCCACCACTCACGACTGTATCTAATGAAAATGGTGGAAAGGCCTGGCTGAACGTGGACTGCACCGATGTACTTGTCTGCAGGGTGGTTTTAGGCAGCTGTGGTCAGCACACACAGCATCCAGCAGCTCCTGCCTGGCCTTCTCTGTTAACCTCATCCACCAACTGAACAGCCAGGACTGATTCTAGTTAAAACTGGTTGCATACATCTCTGCTGGTGTCTACTGAAAGGACCAGACCGGTTTAATTCTCTCTTTGTTCTGCCTCTAGCTAGTTGTGCGTTATTAGGTAATTTAAGTGCTTTGTGACTGAATTTCTCTCTCCGAGATGTTAGGAAGCCTAATGCCTGCTTGCAGGGTGCTCAGAAAGCCTTAGCTGGCAGCATAAAAGTTGCTGGTACAGTCTGTCTGTTACCCGTCCTATGTCACATGCTTTCAAAGAGGTAACAGACATGGAATCATCATTTTGTTTCTGTCCATTTTTTCCTAGGGAACTACGAGTTGGTCAGCTTACTGCTGAGTAGGGGTGCTGACCCACTCCTGAGCATGCTGGAAGTCAACGGTATGTCTTCATCGCTGCATGAAGATATGAATTGCTTCAGTCACTCAGCTGCACACGGACACAGGTAAAGCTCCATTCTGGTTCAGAACTGGGGTTTTTTTGCCTAAGGCTGTCACTGTACGTATTGCTGTGCGAGTTTATATTACATGCCTTACACCCAAATCCCCGGGTGTGCAGTTCAGAAGATGGTGTTAAGTCTCTCCTGACAGCAGCCATTTTTTGGTGCAGCACCATTTCCCAGACTACTCCTGTTCTGACGTAGGTAGTGCCTTTTGAGCATTTTTGGGAACTGACAGATTCTGAGTTCTGAAGAACTGAAAGATTCACGTGGTAATTGCTCTCTGTTACCTCCCTTTAAGAAGAAATGATGCGAGGCTTTCGTTATTCAGCAACTATAACTCTGATAAAAGAAAGGGATTACATTTTAGTCAAAAGCACAAAACGCAACAGAAAGATCTTTGCTTTTTCTTATTCCCTCTCTTGCTGGTCTAGCTCTGCAGCACTAAGAGTGAGGAGGACCTGGTTCTAAGCCATACATGAGCAGACTAAATTCTACCTATGGGTAGGTTATGAGATTGTGGTTCATGTTCTGAGGCAGAATCTAATGGCATTAAGGTTGCAAAAATAATCCGCAGCAGAATTGGATTGACTGCATCTCAGGTTTTTAGATGGCCGACTAAGAGATCAGTCGTCATAATGCTGAGAAGCCAGCCTGGGCTTTCCAACCCAGTTTTCAGGGTGGTTGTTTAGAAACAAGTCATTATGTACAAACTCATCCAGAAAAAGCTTCTGTTCCCATAAAAAAATGTTAGCATAACGAGCCAATTAGAGCAGCCCTGAAACCGCCCATGTAGATGGGCTGAGAGATAGCCAGAGGGTCGTACAGCTGGCCCTTACAGTAGCACACTAAATAGTAGCCACCTTGCATGGACACGGCTGTGCTCTGCAGTGGTGCCAAAACTGTGCCTCCAGGTACGTCGCATATCTGGGTACACCAGGGAAAACAGCCCGAGCTCAAATGAGGCCCAAACTCCGCGAAGCCGGAACAGCCTAATGCAGTTATTTATAGCGTAAAACTACACAAACACTGTTCTGTTCCCAATTCTCTTCCCCTCCCACAATCTCCTGCAACATCTAACCAGGCAAACTGTGAAACTTAAGGCTTGTTCTCCAATCGGATAGGGCAGGGTGATCCTAAAGCACAAAAATTAATTTTTTTAGTCATACTGAGTAGCGTGGGTGCAAAGAGAGCACCAGCTAGTGGCAGTGCAGTGTCACAGCTGAGCGTGCGGGTGGACTCGCTGGGAGGGGGAAAGTCTGCTGCAGATGGCTCCAGCTGTCTGCAGGACACCAGTGGTGCAAGCTTTCTGAAGTGGCTGGACACAAACAAGAAAGCCTCTTTCTTGCAACTGCTGCGTGAAATTCCAAACCAAAAAAATTCTCCCTGGATTAGTGATGCAGAACTATCGGGTTTTTATGGTTTCTATTTACTGATACAAGAAGCGAGTCTGACTAAAACAATGTACCAGCGCTTGAAGGTGGTCGTTTGGGGAAACAGCGAGGGTTCCAACAGACACTCCCTGGTAAATCTCACTTCAGAGCTTAAGATGTTACCGCGCTCAGGGCTGGCAGGAGGCAGCGTGCTTCTGTGCCCAAGTACTGACTGCAATAAAACCCACTTTGCCCTAACGCTCTGAAATCTGCCCTGGTACCACTACGGTATGGAGCATATTCCATTCTTTTGCCTTTGCTACCAGGACATCAATTTCTAGCATGTGGGATAGGGAAGGATGAGGGGTTTAAATGCTGCTCCGTGTCTGCCTCTGTCTATCTTCTGGAAGGAAATCATTATTTGCTAAGCCAGACCACTAAGCCCCAATCACCATAGTCCTGTCGGGATTGATGACGCTTCATTTCTTAGTAGGCGATCTCTCTTCTTCCTCCTCAGGAATGTTCTGCGCAAGCTCCTGACCCAGCCCCAGCAACTGAAGGGAGACGTCCTCTCGCTGGAGGAGATTTTAGCTGAGGGAGTGGAGAGTGACACATCCAGCCAGGGCAGCTCCAGCGAGGGGCAAGTCAGGCTGTGTAAAACAAGAATGAAGGCTCTGCAGGAGGCCATGTATTACAGTGCCGAGCATGGCTATGTGGACATCACCATGGAGCTCAGGGCACTCGGTAAGGTGTTTTCTTTATTTTAAGCACTTTATTTTTAAGGCGTGAAAAGCTTTTCCCTCTGCCCCTTTCACTTGGAGAAGAATCTGTAACCTCAGCTGCAAAGCTATCCCAAGCCTGTGGGAAGTAGCTGTCTAACTTAATAAAAAAAGCGTGTAAGGCTCCTCACAATTTTTTCCAAAATCCCACTGATCTAGGATGTCCCTTACTTTTGGCTGGATCCTCTGTTCCCAAGTATCAAAAGCAAGGGGCACATCTCTTCGTCAGATACTCTGACGCCTAATATTCAGTGTTAAAGAGGCTGGTCTTAAAAACAAAGTCAACATCAGAGATGAAGTGATTCAGGGTGAAAGAGCAGATTTGATCTAAAGGCAGGAAAGAAAAGCTTTGAAGCTTGTGTGTCTAGGCTGTTAGAGGTAACCAGGAGAAAAGACCTCGCACCCTGTTTGCGTAGGCTTAGCTACTCTTACAGGTTCAGTTCAAATTTATTTTGTAGTTCCAACTAATCGAGAAGCTTAATACACAACAGGGAGTCTCTGGTCCTTAACAATTAGCAGGAAGTTCCAACTTCTGGTCCTGGTACCAATCCTTTGCTGTTGTAGATAAGTCATTTAATCTGTCAGTGACCCAGTTCAGTCATCTTTAATATCAAGGCAAACACGTATCTGCGTTGGGGTGCATGTAAAGATCTACTTCAGTGCCACTAGGTGTTAGTGATAGCAGCGGAACGATTGACTCACAGGCACTTTAGCAAATCATCATCTTCCACTGTCCCTTTTGCTGTGGCTACAGGAGTCCCATGGAAGCTCCACGTCTGGATCGAGTCACTGCAGACAACCTTCTACCAGTCTCGTTACTCGGTGGTACAGACCCTCCTGCGGGAATTCGTCACCATTAAGGAAGAGGACTATAATGAAGAACTGGTTAATGAAGGGTTGCAGCTCATGTTTGATATCCTCAAAACCAGCAAAGTAATTATTAGTTTTATAACACTATCAAAATCAAGTGTTTGGTTTTTGCTGTGGTACAAGGTAGTGCACAACAAGAAGCGAAGTGAATGCCTGTGCAAAGTCCCTAATGAGTTATGGTATGAAAATAGCATTTATCTAAATTCATACGCAGCCCACAAAAGCAAGCCTCGCAGTAAAGACATTAATTTCAACGGAAGTGATTCTGTTAAAGTCCCGTTTGGCAACTGGCTTTTGAAATCACGTGAATGTAAGAGGAAGAGTTACCGGTACGGTGCTGGGCCATTCAGCTTCTCCCAATAGCATCTTCTAGGAGTTTTCTGAACAACACTTTTGTTCAGTGACATTTTCCTTCTAGTTTTTTCTTTTATTTAAAGGTTGCCTGTAACTGTGTTTTCCTTGTTTTTCAAGGCAGGCCTAGAACGGATTTGATCCACGGTATATAGTTCAGCTGTCCCATTTTGCAGATAAGTTCACCCAACCTCTGCCGTGTTCTCTCCCAAGCGGCTGTTGCCCGTTAGGAGGGGGGCGCCCCCCTTCTGACTGCAGAGGGGATGCATTTGAAACGCACAGACAGGGGAAGCTGAGGAGTACATACAGCTCTTGATACCTCCACAATTGGTCACTACAACATGCATTGTAACTGTCCTGTAAATTAAAAGCAAGAGTTACAACTGGCTAACTAAAACCAGTCGCAAACTAGGAACCCGAACTTGGATCTAGACAACGAACCCATACCGTGAATCAAATCTTGCTGAGAACACACTTGTGGGCTTACCTGTTACACAGCAAGTGGAAGGATGAGCTTTTGCTGATGGGCTCTTTTTCCCTTGGCAGAGGTTGGCCCGTAAACGTTGCTGAGAGAATTCTGTCAGCATCCTTGCACGGATCAGGCGCTTGTCCCTCTCCTTGGGGGTTATTCTTGTAGAGTGCAGTTGCTGTAAGCCTCAAGTGAACTGTTACCACGTGTTTGAAACCCACCCAATACAAAGTGCCGACTGATGATACCTGTTCCATCCTCCTTACAGAACGATGCTATCAATCAGCAGCTCGCATCCATCTTCACCCACTGCTACGGCAGCAGTCCCATACCCAGCATTCCTGAAATCCGAAAGACGCTGCCAGCTCGGCTGGGTAAGATGCTCACCTAAACAGTGACGTTCTTGTGATTTTTTTTTTTTTTTAAATATTCAATTTCCCGAAATAGTCAATATTCAAAAATTCAAAAAATATTCACCTCTTTTTTTTTTCCCTTACCCTCACAGATCCTCACTTTCTAAACAACAAAGAAATGTCTGATGTAACGTTCTTAGTAGAAGGAAAGCTATTTTATGCACACAAAGTCCTGCTGGTTACTGCATCTAACAGGTGAGTTGCTTTCTACAGCAGAGTGTTAAAGGAAGGTTTGGCCCCCAAGTCTCTCGTTTGTGTGACTGGCTCTCAGTCACCCACTGCAGTAAGGCAGCCCCTAACGATACGACTACAGACCGTAACAGACTACAGACCGTATTCATAATAATACCAAGCCACATATTTTTTGTCAGTGTTAAAGAGTAGTAGGAGAGTAGAGATGAGTTTTTTTTCTAGCCGCTCCTAGTGCATGTTAAGAGATTCCCAAAGCTGTATTGACATAAACTAACCAGTAATTATCCCTAAAACCCCGTGCAGGAGCTGGAGCGTACGTATCCAGCCACTCACTACCTTCCCATTCCCCCTCTCCGAGTTTGCTAGCTAGAGCTACGCTTGCTCCAGATGCCCTGGAAATCTCCCCCCGACCTGGCACAGGTGCAGTTGTTAGTTTCTTTCTCTGTTGCTGGCACAGTAACGGCGTTTTGCAGCTACAGCGTGGGATGGGATCAGACACGAGCCATTTCCAGGTTCAGTTGTCCCTGAAGTTCTAAACTGATTGTCATTGCATTGAAGGAAATGTTTCAGTTTTCAACTTGTGAACAAGAAGGGATCTTTATTTTCCCCTTGCTCAGGCTGTTTGTCAATAGGCAATGAGTATGCAAAGCACTAATCCAGAAATCCGTTAAATCCATTCTCAGGTTTAAGACGCTAATGACCAATAAAACAGAACATGACAGCCACGGCAGCAAGACTGTTGAAATCAGTGATATGAAATACAATATTTTCAAGGTACGTAACTTACTCTACCCATCTTCACTCTTTTTGTCTTCTCCCATACTTGGAAGCGAAGAGGGCCAAGGCTTAATACCAGGGGTAATGCACAAGTAGAGACAGAGTTCAGTTCAACACACCTGTATTTCAGGAGCATTCTGATCTTTGTCAAAACTTCTCAGGCAGGACCAACCTTAGAACAAAAACCTCCAGCCTATATTCTTACTTTCTTACTAGGCAGCCAACTCCCCCATAAAGCAGGAGAAACAAGTCTTCTACTGAAGGTAGTTTTGTACTTTTAAGGCACTGTTTTCATCCTGTGCTAAGTAAAAAGTAAACTTATTTACAGCAGGTGGACTGCCAGGCTTCAGATTAATTCAGATCAGATGGCGTCCCTTTCAAGAAAGGCTCGAAATTGAGAAATTGCACTTCGCTTTTATGACATTTCTGTATTTCCTGGACCCAAGGGAGGTTCACTCATGATGGAGAGAAAGTAGTTACTGAGCAGACACCCAAGGAAGAAAACAAGTCAGTGAAATGGGACAGTTAAGTTATTCCAGCTTTCCAAATCTGCATTTCAAAGTTGGAAGAAAGCTATGGAACAGGGAAATCTGAAGTGCAGAATGGGTTGTATAACTGTTTCACTGCAGGGTTGTGGCTTTTCCTTTTTTTATAATCAAACAAGCAAAGCTGTTGGTCAGCAGCACTGTCACTGCCCCTAGGGGTAACGAAGTTGACTGTAAGAACATCTTTGTTATACCTGAGAGGGACTGTACAAGTCTTGTGGCGGATAGATGACATCAAAATTTTGCAACTCAGGCCATGACAGAAAAAGAGCATTGAAATGAGCCTCCTTCACAACATTTTTACATCAAAAGGTTTCTAAAGATAAACTTTTGCTTCACTGGAGAGAGCAACAAATCAAAAAGAATCAAAACAGTGAAATACTTAACGGAATTAAACAATTTGATGGTAAATAAAATCAGACGAGTTAGGGAGATGATGGCATCTACAGCACCCTCAGTTACGGTGCTGAGCCACCAGAGATCCATGTCCTGCTCGGGGCCCTGCTGGAAAGCAGCTTTGCTCCCCTGCAATTCCATTACACAAATAAGGCAATTTTAAAAGGAGCAGCTTAGTTTCATTACCATTACCTTTAGAAATGCTAGGCAGAGCATGCAGCCCCCACACCTGCTGACACAGCACCCAGGACACTGGGCTGACTTCTCTTCCTAACCCCAAATCTCCTCATTCCCTAAATAAGGCAGCACTGGTTTAGCCGGGGGGTGCACACAAGACATCAAAGAGCAGAAGCTGCCTCTTGCTCTCCCTGCAAACAATTAGGCCTTTTCCTCTGGCCCTGATGGGGGGCTGGAAGCTGATTATAAGCCCAGCAGGGAGGCAAGCGGCTGGGAGGTCCCCGAGACAGACACTCGCCCACGGCGCAGCAGTTCCAGTGCTCCAGCGAGCTGGCAGCCCTGGCTGTGACCAGCCGGCAAGGCTTTACAAAACCGGATCCAAGGAACCGTTTTACAAGGACACTCGTGTTGCTCAGAGACACGCTTACCCCCCCAGCCTAAAATCCTCAATAGGGCCCTTTTCAGAGCCCGAGGAAGAAAAGAGTATTAGAAAGCAGCAGATTGGCAACACAAGGAAAAAGAGGCAGGAGTGGAGGTGAGAGCCAGCGCACCGCGCGATTCCCGTCTGCTCAGGAAGGGGAGCGCAGCCGTTCACAGCCCCTTGTGACTCCAGCGATAACAGCTTCATGCCTGGCCTTCTTCCCGTTTCAGATGCTGATGCAGTATTTATACTATGGAGGAACAGAATCTATGGAAATTCCCACCACTGATATCTTGGAGGTGAGAGTGTTTTCTTCTAAGCCTTGCCAAGTGCACTGGGGCATAAACAGAGCTTGGAAGGCAAAATCCAGGAGCTAACAGCAGGCTTCCAATCCAGGAGTCTACTTAACACTTTGAAATGAGCTTAAAGTTTCAAAACACTGTTGCTTGGAAGTAAGAACTCGCAGTTATGGATTATTATCTCTATGAGATGCTGGGGGAGGGAAATCACTGCAGTGCTTTTGGTACCCAGCGTTGGGTGGAAGCCTCCTTCAGACCACATCCTGGGTGTGCCGGGAGCAGGAAGCGGGTGCGCTGCGCTTTCGGTGGGGCACAGAAAAGGTGCAGCTGATGGAGCAGCTCCGGCGCCCACAGCGGGTCGAACGCAACGGGGCTGGAGATTGTAGAGAAATGACAGATGCCAAGCTGAACTTCCGCAGAGCAGCTGATGGTATTGCAAAGACTGCACTGAGCGCCCTCCCCCCCCTTACAGATAGTCCCAAAAATGCTGCTCAGTCACAACTAGTCTGGCGAAATTAAAGCTTGCAGCTAAAGACTACACACAGCTGTTTTTCTGAGGAGAGGAAAGGGGGCTTTGAGCCCTCAAGCCCGTACATCCTGGTGGCAGAAGGCAGCACAAATGCACTTCTGCAAGAGGAGCAAGCCTTTGCTAAGAGGGGTGATCTGCCTGTCGTGTTAGCTAGGCATCGCACGGCCCCTCTGCTCTTTCGTGAGGACTCGGCTGTTAAAACAGGGAGTCGGAGATCGCTCAGAGGGGAAATCATCAGTTCTGTCCCTTTCCCTTCCCTAAAAGCCTTTCAGGGCTCCTGATCTCAAATAGCTTCTCTCTTGTGCCGATAGCTGTTGTCGGCTGCCAGCCTGTTTCAACTGGACGGCCTCCAGAGACACTGTGAAATCCTCTGCGCCCAGACGATCAGCATGGACAACTCCGTTAACATCTATAAATATGCAAAGGTACGTGCCAAACCGCCTTATTTAAGAATCACAATGAAACAGCGTGCGCGCGTTCCGCAGTCTCGTTTCGGTAACCACATACAACAGGCACCGAGCGGGCACCTGCCAGGCTCGTAACTCTACCCCAACCGCAGCCACAAGTCGGGTGTACTCAAGTTCCAGTCTGTAAAGCCCTCCGCGGCCCTGGTAGGTTTTCTTGTCTAAAGCAATCGTGTATGAAATTGATGCAAGATCCCTACAGAGCAGGGGAGAGGTGTCGGAGCAGGCCGACAGAGCAACATCATCCAGCAAAGCCTGAGAGATTCCAGTCCTCAGAGCAGCAGGGGCAATCGATCATAGTAGAGCAGCCAAGAAGCAAACCCTTTCCTAGCACTCCTACTGCCAAAACACATTCCTTACAGCTCCAGAACTAGCACATACACTCTGTTGTGCGACACAGATATTCACCTCTGCAACAAATAATCCATGTTATCAATTAAATCACGGAGAAACCCTTGGCCACTCCTGGAAGTTTGTGGGGTCAGATGCCTTAGAGACAAGCAGAAAGACTGCACGAAGGGCTGATAACGATGCGCTCGTTTACTTTGTGTGTAGTGTCCCAATTCCCGACTCTCACACTGGGCCTTTTTTTTCCCTACGGAACTCAGGCGGGTTTCTTTCAGGACCTAAAGTTTAGCAATATGCAGTGGTAGAGAGGGGAGGGGAGCATCCCCCACTGGCCTTTAGTGCTTTTCCTTAAATTGCTATTTGCACAGGGGGTGCGCACACGCAGTGCTGCTTAATAATGAATTTGAGTTTCATTGTTCTCCTATTGCTGAGCTTCCCCACCCTGGTTCTGAAGCAAAGGGAACCAGCTCACAGCCAGAAATCCACCCCACGGGTTTTAGACGCGTCACATCCCTATTTGCCTACGGTCAGCTCCGTTTTCTAGGAGTTAGGTTTGCATCCTATGTGCCATATTCTTACTGCCACGAGCTGTGCACGCCATCTGGCAGCGCGATGCTTTATGCTGCGGCACACGAGCTCCCCGCCTGCCTGGCTAAACAGGTATCTTGGCCACTTCGTCGGCCAGCTGCTCCCCTCCTTGAAAAAGGAGGGAGGGAGGAGTGCAGGCCAGTGGCTCTGCCAACAGCAGGCCATCAGGGGGAGGAATTAAAACAAACAAAAAAAAGCTTGAATGCCTCCCTGCTCACACCTGTGCCTGCAAAAAGCTCTGAGAGACATTATCAGTCATTGCTGGTCCTCCCCTCCAGTGCTCTTCCACCGTTATCACCGTCCTTTTGTCTGTCTTGGAAAACATTAAAGGGAAAAGCATTAGAAATGAGACGCTCAGGCATGTCCTTCAGGCCTGTGACATACAGAAAGGGCTAACTGACCTTCCTCTCTTCTGCAGATCCACAACGCACCTGAACTAGCCTCTTTCTGTGAAGGCTTCTTCCTCAAACACATGAGCTCTCTGCTAGAACAGGACTCGTTCAAACAGCTGATCTACAGCAGGAACAGCAAAGTGCAAGGCCTGGACCCGCTGCGGGACTTGCAGACAGCCCTGGCCGGCCGCCTGCACTCTGTGTACGTCACCTCCAGGGTGTGAAGCAGGAGCGAGGCAGCGGCAGGAGCACCGCTTCAAACTGCACGGGGACGTGTCGTCAGGCAAAGCTGCAGCTTCCCTGTTTGCCTTCTGGATCTTGCTGAAAGTCCCCTACAAGAGATACCCCCCAGGCAAGGGTGCTGTGCCTCCGACGGAGGGGCAGCTGGCTTCTCTGTGCTACTGCTGTCCCCGGAACACTGTCACAGCACAAACAAGAAGAGAGGATGCGAGCAAAGAACCTGAACCGAAGACCAACACTGCCATTCAAACAAGCACAAGGCAGGGCCGTAGAGAAGTGAGGCAATTTACCCAGCCCCAACACCTCACGTGTAGTCTTAAGCCGTGTGTCCACACCACACTGGCCACCTCATTCATGCGCGTAGATGTTTTACCTGTAAAAAGGCTGCATAGAAGGAGTTTTCTAATCCTATGGACCACTGCCCATTCAGCGAGTCACCTGTCTGAACAGAAAGGCCGGTGTACACAAACTACTTCACCACAGTAATAAACACCAGTCTATACCTGTCAAGAGACTCTGACGTAAGTTTTTCCCCCAAACTGTTTGCACCTTGAGAGAGAGAGAGAGAGATGTTGTAGGTGTTCAAAGCAGAGTAGAAGCTAATACTAATTCTGAAATTACTCATTCTTTAAACCTAATATGAAGAACCGAGCTGGGGCAGGGAGGGGAGAATTGGGTTTCTGTATTTTTTTTTAATCCGGTTTCACTGTGCTAGTTGTTAATCTGGATCCATTTTGAGGAAGGAAGCAAAACGACTGTCTACCTTTTCACTGTCAAGGTTTGATAGTCCCCATCACCTTCACCTTAAAAACCCGTTTCTGAACATTATCTGTGGGACCCAACACCACAAAAGCTGCTTTCTGAAAGACTCAGGTGTAGTAGGAGCCAGCACTACGCTGAAAACCTGCCCGGTAGCATAAATAGCAATAAAAGCCTCCCTAAGAGCCTGAGGAACATACAGCTCGATGGTTTATGCTCTCTCTGGAGCTGGTTGGGATTAGAAGCTCCGAGCTCCAGTCTCCGCTTCCACAGCCTCACCCAGGGACTGATGCTACCTCAGCAGGGACCGGGCACAGCGCACACCCGGCTGGTTCCTCGAGGTAGGCTGCAGTCTAACATTTAGGCGGCAGCACTTCAACAAGATGCCTCAACTCCAGTGCCCAAGATTCACATTTTCTCCTTTGTCCGCAGCAGACAGATGTTCCTGGTCCCAAAGGGCTCCTTCTAGCTGACTGCAGAGAACTAGGGGGAGACAGTTCAAGCTACAGTTTTGAGTCTGAAGCAATGTTTTTGTGTGTGGTTTTTTTTGTTTTCAGTAATCCCCACCGTAGGAAGGCAGTTAGTTGTATAAAAGCACAGACCTTGCTCTTACCAATAGCTTTAAGGAAAGACCTTCAGAGAGCTCCCCACTGGTCTTTGTTAGCACCCACCACAATATTTGCTAAGATGCTTTCATTCGTTAGAGGTGGGTGAAGGAGAAGAGGAAGTCGAGGTTTCAGTGGAGAGCTACTACTTCACAGAAATTCAACAATTAATACTGTAACTAAACACACTGGAAGGAGGAGGCTCAGCTGGGCCCAAGCTCCAAAGCACAACATGGTTTAGGTAGATGAAGGGAAGGCGAACGAACTATGGCATCTCCCAACAAAATCCATCAAAGCCCGACACCGCCTCATTCTTAAAGGATTGACATCGGAGGCAAATTGCAGGCAAGGACAAGAACGATTAAGGCTCAGTAAGCTGACAGACAAGTTGGCCAGGGCACACTCCAATTTGTGCTTTAGGTCCACCTCACTTTTGATGATCACCAGCTTCAAAAGCCCTATTTATTCTCAGAGAGCCATACAGGGGTTTCAAAATTGTCACTGGTCTGCCTGAAAAATACCACAAAAAGCTTTATTCTTGGAAAGTATTTTCAAGTAGCGGCTCCAGCTGTCTGTACAAATATGTAGGTCCTCGTACGTTGCTGTAATATTATAATGCTTTGTTAATTGTACATTAATGTTGTCATTTATGTAAATGTACCAGGATTTTATTAACAACGTAATTTTAAAATACACAGCTGCTGTTCTTTATTCTGCTCTTCTAACATGAAAAACCAGACTTAAAGACATGTCTGTGGGAAAGGCAGTTGCTGTTTTAGCATCTTGCATTTGGTTTGGTAGCTATACCTAACGTTACGCTTTAAAACAAGGGATAATGAAGCATTTGTTTCCCCTTCCCGGGCACAAAGGGGTTTTTGAAGCAGTAAGTTAAGTTGAACATGCATTTTCCCCAGCTGAAGTACATTTACCTGCTTTCCATGAAAAAGCAGCAGGCAGTAGAGTGTGTCAGAAAAACCCTAATTCTGGGATTCTTCCCTGCAGCAGAAGAGCCAGTGAGGGTTAACGCAACTACGAACCTGCAGGTATCCAAGCAGTCCTCAGAAGTTCAACACCCGATTCCCTCCCTCCCAAATGCTAACAAATAAAATGTGCAAAAGCAGGCACCGCTTCCTTCCCGCGTCACCTGGGAACCCAAAAGGCTGAACTGGGCCTGGCTGGTGCAGCGTGCCCGGTGCCTCGCCGCGGCAGTAGCCAGATGCATATCAGAGCAAAGAGCATCCAAGAACCCACGCAGTCAGGCATGCAACAGTATAGGAAGCAAGGGCATTTCTTTATCCGTGAGATAAGAAGCACACAGGTTTAATTCTGCTGTCAGAGCAACATCTTGACCCAGAAATACCTTCCCTCCCCCCAGGTTTACCCCATAAATCTTGCAGACTGAGTTGGGGGATAGTGGCTGAGCTGTAACTCTGAACCTGGTGCCACCTCCCCAGGACTCAAGGAGTCTCTTAGGATGCAAAGCACATTTTGTTTCAGAGGAAACCATTAATACAGCCAGGACCTGTGCTTGGCTGCTAAACCTCTTCGTAATTGTCTCTTTCCTTTAATTTCTCCCCACACACATCTCAACAGAGGGACGCGTGCAGCACATCCCTCTGCTGCAGCAACGTTTGCAGTCCAGTTGGATAACGAGTTACCGTCACAAGCATTTCTTAGCATTTGATTTACACCATCCCCGAGAAGCCTGCTGGGAACGATGCGCGGGGGGTGCTCTCTCACACCCGCACACTTGGAAACCCACCAGTACAAACACCGACTTGTGCTCAAGAATCATGGAACACAAACACCCAAGATTCCCTTTGGAGCGCTTTAAAATGCAGATTAAATAGAAATGCCTTCCAAAATTAGTTGCGTACCACCTCTCTAATTTTATACAGCGCTGCCCTTGGAGCCCTAGAAAGTGACATAGCAGAGTTTGCCCAGATTTGGGGAAGCACAAAACTTTGCTGGCCATAATTATATCATTTCATGGAGCGGAGACAGAGCTCGCACATCTGCCCAAACACGCGTGCTGATTTCCAGACTAAAATAAAACCTTTCTGCTTTACAGTAAGCCTGTGCACAGCAGGCAGGCGCTGGCTGATGGAGCACTGCTACAGACTGGCCCTTTGCCCTCGCCAAATGCTGCCCAAGCCACCAGACATTGCTTCCTGCCCCTGCCCCGACGAGACGGCCCCGGAGCCGCAAGAGGGAAAGGGGGCGGGGGGAGGGAACTCCCTTGAGGAACGGGGCAACGAGCTGCTGTCACCACGGCCTGTGGCAGAGGATGCAAAAGCTCAATTTGCTCCCCAAAGGGCAGGTTTGAATATAAGGGATACCTTAATCCACAGCAAAGAAAACAGCGTATTGCAGCATCGCATTCGGCACTATTTGCTCAAGAAAAAGAGAGGTGGAGGAAAAAAAAAAAAAAAACAAAAACAAAAAAAGGTTTCTGTTATGTGATGAAAAATCACAGCACAACAGGGAAAAAAGGCCTTGCTAGCAGCACCCGTGGCCCCAGAGCTGCAGGCAGTTCAGGGCTGTCCATTTGCTTACCATCGCTAACTAAAAAACCAGCAGGCCAGTTCACAACCTCTGGGCTGGAGTACAGCCCTCGCACACCGGGCAGGCAAAGCTCACAGCTTCAAACACACGCTCGGCTTGCTAGACCGAGCACAGGATTTCACCCGATGCTCTGGTCTCCACGTTTAGCTCAGGCAGGAGAAGGCTACCTGTGCCCCTCACCACCTCTCTCCGTCCTCAGCCTTCACACACCTGCTAACAGAAAGCAGAAACGCGTGCCACGAGGTGCACAGGCCCTTACCGAGAGACGGGCTCGTCATTCAGCAACTACACAGGGAAGGGGCAGTGACAGAGTCAAACAAAAATCCAGCTGTGGACACAAAGAACCCACCCCCAAGGCAATATCACGACAGCCAAATGGAAAAGCCATACTCCCCCCTGCCCCTTCCACACATTGCCCCTATCCAACACACCAGCCTCTCCTTTCCAGACAGCTCGCTTCACCCTCACACAGCCACGGGGGGCAAGAGCCCTCCCGAAAGCGCAGCCAGCTCACAGCAGCAGGGAAGGTCCTCGGCTTCACCGCTTCTACTTCCTCCCAGATACCTCGCGGAGGTCAGCTCGCTCCAGCTGTCAAAATAGCTCACGGCTCTCCAAGCAAGCGGGATGATTTCACTGACAACTAGGTCACATCTACCCACCACCTGCAGAGCGCTGCTCAGCTACGCGGGGTGGCTTTCCCATTTCCCTCCCGTTAGCCACAGCACTCCCGCACCGCGGGCAAACAAGCTCACTCGGGCACAGGAGAGGAGGAGAGAGCGAACCTGCAGCAACACGACACATCAGCCATCCCGGGAGCGCTGAAAAAAGGCCATAAGCCGACCTTGTAGGTTTAAAACAGGGCCTGAGACGCTAATGCACGTGGTTACAGGGTTGTGCAGAAGGCCCTGTCCCCCTGACGAGGAAAGGAGGGGCACGGGCAGCTGAGCTGGCTTCGCTCGCAGTTAAATGCCTGCGCCGCAATTAGCAATACACCAGGCTCCTTCAAGCATGCAGAGCCCCACCTGCAGGGGATCCGGGCGCAGAAAGACCAGGAACCTGCTCTGGTCAAAGG